CTTTTAACTTAAGACTTTCTGTCTCTGAGATGTTTATAATTTTTACAAATTTCTGGACAGTAATAATTGTTTAAGATTCCTTATTGTCGGCCGGGTGCGGTGGCTCAAGCCTGTAATCCCAGCACTTTGGGAGGCCGAGACGGGCAGATCACGAGGTCAGAAGATCGAGACCATCCTGGCTAACACGGTGAAACCCCGTCTCTACTAAAAAATACAAAAAACTAGCCGGGCGTGGTGGCGGGCGCCTGTAGTCCCAGCTACTCGGGAGGCTGAGGCAGGAGAATAGCGTAAACCCGGGAGGCGGAGCTTGCAGTGAGCTGAGATCCGGCCACTGCACTCCAGCCTGGGCTACAGAGCGAGACTCCATCTCAAAAAAAAAAAAAAAAAAAAAGATTCCTTATTGTCGAACATCATATCAAATAATAAAATAATATAAAAAGAAGAATATTCTACTACCAAGAGCTAGGGTTTTACATTTAATATTGTTATTAGCTCTTTATTAGATGTGCAGCATTCTAACTCAGAGTCCAGTTAAAACTGCCATTAAATAAACCTAACAATATAGATTTAAGTCAGAAATGATTATGGCTAAGTTCTCTAAAACTATAACATAATATACAAATATTAGTATATATAATCATTAAATTCTTTGAAGAGGAAACTGCTTTTTACCTATGTGTTATATTTAAAATTGCAAATGATGCTGCAGTACCTTCGATGATAACTGAAATGAAAATATGTCTAAATTAAGAGAATGTCTATATTATGAAATAGTTTCAAATAAATAATTCACTCATTAAATATTTGTTAAGTGCCTACCACACTGCAGGCATAATTCTAGGTGGTAGGCACACAACAGTGAACAAAACTAAACTTCTACCCTCATGAAGTTTACATTGCAGATAAGTAGAAAATAAACAAATATATATTAAATGATGATCAATATTACATAGACAAAAGAAATAGCTTCACAAAACTGGAGAGTGCAAATTAGCTTTTACTATTTTATAAAGGGCTATCAGTGTAGGTAATATTTGAGTTGATATTTATTGATATGAGGAAACTGTGAGGGAAGACTATTGGAAAAAAAATTAAAGGCTCAATCTTGAACACGTTAAAATAGTGATGCCTATTAGACATTCATATAAAGGTGTTGAGTAGGTAGACTGAGCCAAAATTTCAGGGGAGAGGTATAAGGTGAATGTGTACATTTGGGGATGATCAATATAGATAGGGTCTTTAAAGCCAAGAGAGTGGTTGATACTGCTAAAGAGTAAGTATAGATGGACAAGATTAGAGCCCTGTGGCATTCCAACATTAAGAGTTCAAAACAGAAAACCGGCAAAGAAGACAGAGAAGAAACAGATATCAATGTCAAATGAAATCAAGAAATCATAGTGTCCCAGAGGGAGCTAACTGAAGAAAATCATCGATAAGGAGAGGGATACTGTACTATAAAATATTCTGAATACATTAAGAACTGAGAATTGACCATTGTATATGAGAATGTGGAAGTCACTGGTTGACCTTGACAAACAGTTCCTGGATAGTAGTGGGGACCCAAGAGTGAATGGAGAGAATTCAAGAGAGAATGGGAACCCGGTAATTCCAGTTCTGGGTGTATACCCAAAAGAACTGAAAGCAAGGTCTTAAAGAGGTATTTGTACACTTATGTTCATAGCAGTATGACTCACAATAGCCAAAAGGGGGAAGCAACCCAAGTGTCCACCAACGGATGAACAATTAAGCAAAACGTGGCACATCCATACAAAGGAATATTATTCAGCCTTACAAAACAAAGAAATCCTGTCATTCCACAATATGAATAAGCCTTGAGGATATTATGCTAAGTGAAATAAGCCAATAACTAAAAGGCAAATAGTGTATGATTTTACTTATACGAGGTAGAGTAGTCAAAATCTCAGAGACAGAAAGTAAAATACTATTTACTAGGGACTGGGGGGAATAGGGATGCGGAAGTGATTGTTTAATGGATATAGAGTTTCAGTTTTGCAAAATGAAAACAGTTATGTGAATGAACGCTGGTGATGGTAGCATAATAATGTTAATGTACTTAACACTACTAAACTGTATACTTAAAATAGCTAAGTTGATACACTTTATGTTATATGTATTTCACCATAATTTTGTAAATGTTCATGAAATTGGTACCAATGAGAAGTTAAAGAGCAGTCAGAAGTCATAATTTTCTGTAACTTTTTCATTTCACTTTCACTTTATAGCTATTTTTTTTTTTTTTTTTTTTTTTTTTGAGACAGAGTCTCACTCTGTCCCCCAAGCTGGAGTGCAGTGGCAAGATCTCGGCTCACCACAAGCTCTGCCTCCCGGGTTCACGCCATTCTCCTGTCTCAGCCTCCTGAGTAGTTGGGACTACAGGGGCCCGCCAGCATGCCTGGCTAATTTTTTGTGTTTTTAATAGAGACAGAGTTTCACCGTGTTAGCCAGGACGGTCTTGATCTCCTGACCTCGTGATCCGCCCACCTCGGCCTCCCAAAGTGCTGGGATTAAAGACGTGAGCCACCATGCCCAGCCTTCACTTTATAGCTTTTAAAAGAAGAATATAGGCCGGGCGCCGGTGGCTCACACCTGTAATCCCAGCACTTTGGGAAGCCAGGGTGGGTCCCATGAGGTCAGGAGATTGAGACCATCCTGACTAACACGGTGAAACCCCATTTCTACTAAAAACACAAAAAATTAGCTGGGCGTGGTGGTGCATGCCTGTAATTCCAGCTACTTGGGAGGCTGAGGGAGGAGAATTGCTTGAACTCGGGAGGCGGAGCTTGCATTGAGCCAAGATTGCGCCACTACACTCAAGCCTGGGCGACAGAGCCAGACTCTCTCTCAAGAAAAAAAAAAAGGAGGGGGGAGAGAGAGAGAGAGAGAAGAATATATGTCACTTGTGAGAAAAGAAAAAAAGACATACACAAATGTCCATAGCAGCCTTAAACATAATAGCAAAAATGCTGAAACAACCCAAATGTCATTCAATATACGCATGGATAAACAAACTGTGTTATAACTGTACAATGGAATACTGCTCCATAATACAAATGAACACATTACCGATAAATTTAACATGGATGAATCACCATGTGGAGCAAAAGAAGCCAAAAATATATAATATATCATTCCATTTACATAAAGTTCAAGAACAGATATCACCAAATCTATAGTGTTAAAAATCAGGACAGTAGTGGCCTTGGTGTTGGGGATTGATTGGAAAAGGCACATGAGAACTTTCTGGGATAAAGGTAATCTTCTACGTACATTAATAAAAGGGTATCTGACTGTACACTGAAGTTCATCCATTTCATAGTAAATTATGCCTCAATATTAAAAAAATTAGACAATAGGAGGATACAATATGATGAAGCAAGTATAGACAACTCTTCAGAAGAGTTTTACAATAATGAGGTGCAGACTTGGAGGTCATAAAGAATTTTTTTTGTTTGGATTTTTTATTTTTTTATTTTTTATTTTTTTTATTTATTTATTTTTTATTATTATTATACTTTAAGTTCTAGGGTACATGTGCATAACGTGCAGGTTTGTTACATATGTATACTTGTGCCATGTTGCTGTGCTGCACCCATGAACTCGTCAGCACCCATCAACTCGTCATTTACATCAGGTATAACTCCCAATGCAATCCCTCCCCCCTCCCCCCTCCCCATGATAGGCCCCAGTGTGTGATGTTCCCCTTCCCGAGTCCAAGTGATCTCATTGTTCAGTTCCCACCTATGAGTGAGAACATGCGGTGTTTGGTTTTCTGTTCTTGTGATAATTTGCTAAGAATGATGGTTTCCAGCTGCATCCATGTCCCTACAAAGGACACAAACTCATCCTTTTTTATGGCTGCATAGTATTCCATGGTGTATATGTGCCACATTTGCTTAATCCAGTCTGTCACTGATGGACATTTGGGTTGATTCCAAGTCTTCGCTATTGTGAATAGTGCCGCAATAAACATACGTGTGCATGTGTCTTTATAGCAGCATGATTTATAATCCTTTGGGTATATACCCAGTAATGGGATGACTGGGTCATATGGTACATCTAGTTCTAGATCCTTGAGGAATCGCCATACTGTTTTCCATAATGGTTAAACTAGTTTACAATCCCACCAACAGTGTAAAAGTGTTCCTATTTCTCCACATCCTCTCCAGCACCTGTTGTTTCCTGACTTTTTAATGATCGCCATTCTAACTGGTGTGAGATGGTATCTCATTGTGGTTTTGATTTGCATTTCTCTGATGGCCAGTGATGATGAGCATATTTTCATGTGTCTGTTGGCTGTAATGAATGTCTTCTTTTGAGAAATGTCTGTTCATATCCTTTGCCCACTTTTTGATGGGGTTGTTTGTTTTTTTCTTGTAAGTTTGTTTGAGTTCTTTGTAGGTTCTGGATATTAGCCCTTTGTCAGATAAGTAGATTGCAAAAATTTTTTCCCATTCTGTAGGTTGCCTGTTCACTCTGATGGTAGTTTCTTTTGCTGTGCAGAAACTCTTTAGTTTAATTAGATCTCATTTGTCAATTTTGGCTTTTGCTGCTGTTGCTTTTGGTGTTTTAGACATGAAGTCTTTGCCCATGCCTATGTCCTGAATGGTAATACCTAGGTTTTCCTCTAGGATTTTTATGGTATTAGGTCTAACATTTAAGTCTCTAATTTGGTTTTACTTTTGGATGGGAGATACTGCAGCATGTTTGTGTGCTAATAGGTATGATTCAGAGGAGCTGGGACAAAGTCTAAGGTGATGTGTTTAAACGAGAATGAGAGGATGAAATTCAGAGAATAAGTACAGGTATTGGATGTCCCCAGCAGCATGCATGCTCAATCCACAATAACAGTAATGAAGAAAAAGTATATCGCTACCAAGCAAGTTAAGTCGGGAGCGGTGTATGAGGCCATGTGAAAATTCTAACTGCTTAATATACCTACTACACAGTATATGTTTATAAATACCATATAGTGTACATACTAGTAGAGCAGCTTTGTTCTCACACTGTCCACAAACTTTCCCATTTATCTTGGGTTTTTCACATTCTGAAGAATTTGTCATTTTATAATTAACTCTTGGTTTCACTGGCTCTGCAAGAAAAAAAACAATGTTACTCCAATCGTTTAAAAATATAATGTTTTTTCCAATTGAAAAATTAACGAAACTATGCACACTTCCCATCTCTGGATCTAACTGAAGCCCACATAGAACAAATTCTAAACATTTATAATTATACATATTCATAATACATATATGTATATAAATATATATTATATATATTTCTAAATTTTTTCTACCAAATTATATTAATCATGCAACATTAAATGTGTTTACTATCCTCCAGAAAAACATCTTATTTCCTTGAGAATTATTATAAATTCAAATTATATTTTTGGTTTTGCTATTATTAAACAATCTATTAAGATATAAAGCAATTTTTCTATTTTTAAAACTTTTCTAGAGTGAAATTTTAATTTATAATTTACACTGCTAAATTATCTTCCTTATTAAAACATTACATCAATAAAATTTAAGGAACAGTGCTGTAAAAGCCCTCACTTTTGAAAAATACTATTATTATAATCATGTATTAAGTTTACTTTTTTGACACAAAAGCCCCCCAAAATACCCAAATAAAATTTATGTTGAAAAACAACGTGTCATGATTTGGGGGTTTAGAATCTTTATACTGCACGAACAATTCTAAAACTTTAACTTTATTTGTAATTCAAATGTAAAAGAAAGGAATGTCTTTAGCATTTAATAACATGGTGATAAACTATTTACCTTGAATCTGTTCCTTCAGTAATTTTAATTTCACTTTTCCAGCAGAAAACTGTATTAATAAAATAGACACTATTTGTCAGGTGTATATTATCTTATTCAGTGAAAGTTTAAGTTACTAACAAAAACATTAGAAAGCTGTAGCTTTGGTGCATTTTGAACAAAAAATTATTTTTAAAGAATAATATAAAATTAATAGGAGATCATCATTAAAGCATATATGTACCTTTTAATTAATCTAATAGAAATCATAAAAAAGAAAATAAATTTTAAAAATATACGTAAACCAATTTTTGAAAACATAAATTGTCTTTTAAACAAAAATCATTATATGTCATCATGTAATGATTTTAGGAAAGTGCTAGTGTTCAAATATTGTAAAGGTTTAATACATCTTTTCTATTTCTGCTCTTTCTGAGACACACAGTCTAATATTTGTGTAAGCTGAATCTAAACTGAATTGTGACTAATCTATTCTGCTTACATTACTATAGAAACCATATTATTTTACTTGCCCAATTTAGAGAACTACATGTGTAGACATCACAGACTTATCCTTCAAAAGTGTTATTAGTGATCCCTGACTTTCCTAAATATTAGTTAAAAAAAATTGAATAAATAAGATTCACTGCTAGATATTTCAAATAAATCTTCACTTAAAATTTGGGGATTGTAATATTTTAGGAAATAAAATACACTTGCCAATTGAACATGTTTGCCTTGATCTTATTAAAACCAACATTTAAAGTACACAAACGAGAATGAAGGATGGTATGCATTTATATAGATACTGTCAATTCAGGCCTAGTTTTCAATTTGCAATTTGCATGCTCAATTGCTCAATCTGTACGTGAGAATATGAGAACAATGGCTTCCTCTATATCTATGGCTGTACCAATTGCAGTCATCTGAAAATGTAGGCCTAATTATTCTCAGTGAATCTAGTGGTTTTGCTTCAAAGGGGCAGTTATTTTTCACATTCTTCAAAGTAACTGCTCAGATGCTATGTACCAAACATAGCAGAAAAGAAAACAAGATTGAAATAATCAATTTTTCTATGAACCACACTTTTATTTTTAAACTGCTAATGTTATACAACTTACAGATAATCTAATCTCATTTTTCATAACCAAATTATCCAGTATGATTACTTTAATGATACATCTGAATTGAAATATGATTAGTGTGGTTATAGGCTACCCTGGATGGAATGGATAGGTATGCCCAAGCAAAATGAACCCATTATTCGGGAAATTGTATAATTTGTTTTTATTATTATGATTAATATTGTTCTGCTCTATGAACACAGTCATATTTATTTCAAGTAATTCAAATTGCATAAAAATATTTCAGTGAACAAACTGCTAGCTGCTATTTTTAGACAAATAGAATTTCCTCATAGGTCTGATTTTTATCCATTTGGGAAAGGGTTGGAGGTAGAGTTGAACCAAGGATACACATACTTACACAAACACACATATACACATATACACACATGTACATACACATATATAATACATGCATATCTATATATACATATAGATAGAAAGATGGATATCTGTATATGTTTGTATATACAAATGTCAGGAACTTAATATACTAAAGCCTATGACTTATTCATGTGCTGACTCCCCCACCAGTAGGTATTGAAGGGGCGCTATCAGGGGGCAGGAAATCTTAGTGGATTTACCACACAGACATATTATCTAAGCCACTGGGGTCAGACTATGTTGTCATTATCAGCCTCCCTGGCATTCACAAATACCTCCAAACTCCCACCAATGCCTTCATCTGCCACACTGAGCCCAAACTTCTCCCACAAGTCATCTTTCAGACGTTCTCACTGTCAACCCAATTAGCTACTGAAACTTTGCACTTCTGTACTAATTGTCGTTCCTTCCAAGCCCCTACTGCCATTCCATGGAGCTTCTATTAAATAGTCATTTATGTATCTTATGCGTTAAATCTTTCCCAAAAATGTTTCACTCAAAAGCTTACATCAACTGAAAGCCACCTTTACTTAGACACAGTCTTCACCAAAGCACTTCCCATAGGACCTAGCTCCTTTCCACTTCCTTTCACACACCAGGAGAGAGAAAATTTTTCGATTTGCTCTTCAGTGCTGCTTCCAGAATATGATTCTGCTATTATGATTCAGCAAAGTTGCCTCTACTGTAGGTCCCCACCATCCACTTATTGCCTGTGTCAATATCTAGGATCTCTTCCACCTGAACTTCAGCAACCTGCTCAGTATTTCTCTCCATCACATTTCTGCGTTACAGTCTTAGAGACTTCAATGTACGTGTTCACCTGACATCCTGGTTTGAAGACCCTCCAACATGCTGGCTACTGTGAACATCTAAATGCCTCTTCAGCCACCTCACCATTATGACCAAATCTGGCACGTAAGCAGCATTCTGAATAGCCACACTTTCAAAATCTCAGACTGAAAACTTTTTCAGTGCCAACATCAATCACCTTATCTCTTCCCTCTGATACCTTCAATATCAATGTACCACTGTGATAAAAATAATATTATAGAGTCTCCTACAAATCCATGCTGAACAACCTCGGTAGGCTCTAGGGTTCTTCGGCAATCCATTTACTCATTTGCTACTAATCCCCAACCACAACTCCCACAGCGGCTACTCCAAATCTCTTCATTTCCAAGAACTCAAATTCATCCCAGTTCCCTTCATTCACCTGAGAAGATGATATTGTCTTCAACTCTCCTAAGAAAGTTGAGATCTTCCTATTAAAATGTTTCAGTATCCTACCTCACCACTTGTCAAAAAAATCTCTAAAATTTATTTTCGTTGCCACCTGTTTTTTCTTCCACCTTTCTTGTCTCACACAAAAAAAATATGTCTTCCTTCCTTGGTGAAGGCCTCTTTAATGAACCATCCCTTCAAAGACCACACATCCAGCAACTGGCACCTCTTTCATCCACATTTTTACTCTTTCCTCTACTAAGATGTCCATCTTTCATTCTACAAAGTGGCTCACATCATCTTGCCAATTCTAGAAAAGAATTTAATAAGGTCTTTCCTTGATTCTATTAAACCCTTGAAAGGTCACCGTCTACTTTCAAGCTGGTTGCAACAATAGTCTTTACTCACTACTTCCCATCCTTTTCTTTTCAACCAATTGAAATCTACTTTCTTATTTAATATTGACACACTCATCACATTTAGGGCTTTTAAATATTTTCATTATCCAGGAATAGACATTTTAATGTAATGTTTAGGTATCATTACAAAGTGGTTTCACATATTTCAAAGAGTTTTTGACATTGCTCAAAAGCTCTTTGAAGTAGTAGGTATTATTATGCAAGTTTACAAATATGGTAATAGAGGCTTGGAAAGATTAAGTGAATGTTCATCTATATAATCTAATGCAGAGTTTCCAGACCTCAGCATCACTGACATTTGGGGCCAAATAATTCTTTGTTGTGGGGGTTGTCAAGTGCATTGTAGGATGTTTAGCAGTCCCCCTGGCCCTTATTCACTATATATTTTTAGGAAAAAACACACATAAAAACAACAACAACAACAAAGTGTATCTCTCAATGTTAACAACTGAAAATGTCTCCAGACATTGTCAAATATCTCCTGCGAAGCAAAATTGTCCCCTTGAGAAACACTGGTCTAAATAGATACTCAAAACGTTTTTCACTACACAATATATTGGACATTATTGACTTCATATTTTCTAGAAATGTTCTCCTTTACTTTTGTCCTTATAACATTGAACTACTTCGATTTTACTTCTACCATTCTTTTTCTTCTCAATGTCTCTTCACTAGGGAGCTGGCAAATTATCTTAGACAAGCCTGAGAGCTTATATGTTGAATCTTGGCCCTGACTTTTGACCTTGAGTGAGTTATTTAATTTTTTTGATGTTAAATTATTTCATCTGTGAAACTGGAATAATAATAACATCCTCTTAGGAGTGATATAAGCACTTAATGAGATAAGAAAGGAAAAGAAGTTAAACCGTTGACTGGTATTAACACTTATTGAGCTTATTGAGTGAATATTACAGTTCTCTTTGCCAATATAGTTTACACACTGGCTTTCTTTAAGCTTTATTCTTTATACTTCTCTACTTTTTACAAATCCCTAGGGAGTACATTTAGTCCTTTAACTGCAACTTTCTTGAAAATTCAAACAAAACCCTAAATGTATACCCTGTACTTTTCTGAGTCCCTTCTTTATGCTGTCTCTTAGTCAATCCAGCCTGTAATATCAATTATATGTTTGACTTCTTCTTCTCCTTTCTTACTCTTTCATGGTTCCACATTTTTCTTTATATATGTTTTTCTACCCTTTTAATTCAGCCTCCTTTCATCTGACCTACAGATTCTTTTAATAGTCTTACAAATAGCCTGTTTCTAGTGAGATAAGTTTTTTTAATTTTGGGGGTTAAAACTTTTATAATTGATTTTTCCCTAAGATAGATGACACTAGAGAATAAAATGCTTTCTCAAAGCCAAAAACTTTAGAAGTGCCAAGTAAGATCTTTGTAGATTCCAACTGACCCAATGAAAGTTTAATGATAGGTACATAAAAAACAAAAGCTGTGTAAGTTAATATTTACCAAGTCATGAATCTTGCACTAAAGAATCCAGAAGCAAAACTGTTTTCTTTATGTAAAAACACTTATCTGATTTTCATCTTCAATATAATATTATATTTTATAGTATACAGTAAAGGAACAGCAATTCTATAGCTGGGAAACTGAAAAGCATTTTTTTCCTTGGGTATATTTACACATGGAATCAACAGTATATGAATAATAAATTAGTATTGAAGCAGAATATAAAACACTAAACAAATTTGATATAAAAGTAGGAATAAAGTCTCTCATTTGTTATATTAAACAACATTAGCTTTCACCTTAGTTTAGAAGTACTGAATTCTATTTTATATACTTTAAACCAGATCTACACTGAATGGAAAAATTCAGTTTGGAATATGGACAAATTCACTGCAAGGTAAAATTTTGAAATCAGTTTGTAGCTGTAAAACAAAAACATAATTGAATAATGAAAGTTGCATATTACCCTACAAAATAAATCAAAAATTGAATAATATACAAAGTTGTTAAAATAAGGAGAGCATATTCCGAGTATAGAAGAAAATGCAAGACCTAAAACAGAATATCTTCTTGCTTAGCAGAATGCATAAGAATCAAATAGTATCTTCTTACCTTAATAACATTTCCTTTATTTTTTGACATCATATATGATTGATTACCCAATTTGCCCACTTTTCCAGATTTCCAGTAATATTCGCTTGACCTTTAATATACATAAATAAGACAAAATGTAATTACTAAATACATTTCTCCCTTTAATGAAAAGAAATATCGTTTTCCTGTTTCAGGAAATGAAAATTCAGTTGTTAACATGAAAAAAAAAAAGCAAAAAATGAAAACGAAATATCAATAATGTCAAAATATTCTCAATAATTTTAAAATATAGCTTTATCATATTTGTGACTTTTGTGGAGAAATGAATAAAATGAAATAGACAAACACAAATGAAGAATTCTATTTCCTTGATATTCACAATGACTAAAGATAGCTTTCTTAATTTATAGGAAACTTTACAGGTCTTTATGCAATTTTAAAAGCTAAATGTCCACAAATGTAAAGAAGAAAAGCAAGCAAACCAGTACCTCAAAATATTCAGTGGATCTAGTAAGTGATGAATTCCTTGTTAAAACCTCTAATGATCTCCCACATTGAAACATAACAGAGATTACAAAGAAGGCATACTTCAGCTGTACAGTTTTTGAAGCACATTTACTTGAGTATAACAAAATATTTTTGAAGTTATCAAGCCAGAGAGTCCAATTATCATTAAAAATAATAATAAGAAAAACAGTTGCTCAACATCACACAGAATAAATAATTAAGATTGGAGCACTACTATCTTCCTGGCTAGTGAGTGGCAGGTTCTCACTCTGGCTATGACATTTAATATCTGTGTGACCTCAGAAAACAATGTAAAAACTCAGTCATGCTTTAAAATGTTAAGAATCATCTAGAAAAGCTTCCACAGCTAAGAAAAACTCACTCATTAGGGTTGATTTCAGCAACTCTGATTCTCAGATGAGTATCATGATCCATTTAGGAGTCCAAACAAAGTTCGAATCAGTGAAGGTAAAAGAATTGGCCACTAGATCATTAAAAGCAGCAAGACACATAATAAACTTTGTCATCCTGGATGACATACAACATGAGATGCTCTGATTAAACCAATGCTCTAATTATTAGAGGGGCTATGTATATGAGTTATGCATATTTTTCAAAGAATTGGACTCTAAAGATAAATACTACTGAAAGTATAATGAGCACATTTGAATTATCATTAAAGGTTAAGAAGGTACTTCTAGGTATTTGACGGTCATCACTTTGAGGACTAAACAAAAGTTAATTTAATATACAAACAGTTTGGTGATATTTAGTACCAGCAAACGGACATGAAACATGCACTCTCATACACTGTAGGGAAAGATTATAAAGTTTTGACACCTATTTGGAAGACAATTTCTCAATATCTATCACAATGTAAAATGCAAATAACATATTGACCTAAAATTACAGAGGTAGGAATTTATCCCACAAATAGCTTTGCATATGTAAGTGAAAATACATGAAGAAGCATGTTCACGGAAGCATTTATAATCATAAGACACTAAAAACATAATAAAGATCTGAAAAATAAATGCTATTATATCCACGCAAAAAATACTATGTAGCCACTAAGAAAATTAGGCTAATTTTCTTATCACATCAAGGCATTCTCATGTGATAAGAGCACTAAGATATATTAAGTAAAATAGTAGGATATGAATTAATTTCCATATTTTTAGTTGAACTCATCTGTAAAAAAAAAGTAAAAGACACAATATATTCAACAGATATACTCACTGAAAACAAAATACATTCATATACATGTATATATGTAGACTTATACAAAGATAAGACATTTGTGGAGAAAATTTTTAGTCATTAAAATGGGTGCTAGAAAATGGGCTGGGAGTTAGCCTAGAACTAAGAAGAGAGAATTTCCATCACATAATTATTAGTTCTGTTTGTTATCATTTATATTATTTTATAAGAAAACAATAAATTCAGTAAAATTAGTACAAATATATAAGCACAATATTAGAAAGTTTTCATTAATAAAATTTCAGCTAACTAGCATTTACTAAAAATATTTTAAATATACTTAAGGGTTTGAGCAAAATATATATATATATATATATGTCATAGCATTTATTTTTCAGATCTTCATTATGTATATATGTGTGAACTCTTGCTCCCAAAAGCCTTTGAATAAATAAAAATGACTAAACATAAACTGGTGTTTATTTGCTATTGATGGCAATTTTCTGAGAGCAAAAGGTAAAGTGTGCACTGCTGTAGTAAACATTCCAGACCATAAATCAATGAAAAGCAAAAAGTTAAATAAAAAGGAAATAAGAAAGGATAAGATCCAATAATGTTCAGAAGAAACAAAAGTAATGGTAATTTTAAAGAGCAATATGCCTCATCTAAGTGGCACAAAAACAAAAAAATAGAAGGCCTTTGCTATTGCTCATTCATTAGTTAAAGTCAGAAATTATCCATCCATTAAATGCTTTTATTGGAATGACAACAGTATATAAAATCGTTCTTTAAATAATTTAGTTGATTCATCTAAAATTCTCTAAGAGTTTCACCCACTCTCTTTCTTCCTTTTCTTTGCTTCTTGCGGATCGGAATTCTTGCAGTTTCTTCTCCATCTCTTGGTTCTCAAACTCTAACTGTACTTTCTCCATTCGCAGTTCTTGAGCATTTCTGAAGACAAGATTTAAATGGAGTAAGCAGAAAAACAAGCAAAGCCAAAATAATTTTATATAATCTTTTCCTGTTAAATTAGAATCATGAATAATAAGTAAAATATTTTACCTATTTCTTTTGTACTACTCTGAAATCTGGTTTTTAAAGTTAGCATTTACCTTCCATCAAAATCCTGAAGCAAGTTATCTCTTCAAATCTTAGACTTTTGTTTTAATTATTACATTGCTAGGGGTTCAAAATTATAATTAACTTCATATATAAGGCATGTTTTTATATATACACAAATATCTATGACATACAAACAGAAAACAAAATAAAAATATTTTCTAATTCTCATATTGTTTTGCCTCCAATGTAGTCAAGTAGTTTGAAGCATAGTATTTAAAACAATAGACAAAACATACATTTTTGCTGAGCTGGTCATCTCCGAAATTTTAAACCTCTACCTTTATGTCATATATGTATGATGAGGGGGAAAAGGTAGTACCTGTTTGAGACCTATTAAGAAGAAAGCCCCGATTAATGGTTTTGGTACAGGAATTTCTGTACAAGAGACTTTTATAATATCTGAAACTCACTAAGCTTTTGACAAAAGATGTTTTCTTCATTTTACGAAGTCTGGTTATCAGTATTAGCCACCGACTCTTTCATAGATCTAAGCAAACTAATTCTCTAGCTTTTACTATCATAAGTCCAAATCTCTTCCTTCAATATTACATTAGCGTTTTACTACTATCAAGCAGTGTGGGCACCCATGCATGCTATGGCGTGGAACAAAATCAAGGCATAATGAAGCTCAGAAGGGAGAAATCTTTCTAGAGGTAGCAAGCAATTACCAAAAAGCAAGTGGGCCAAGGATATGTCCCAAGAAGACACAATCCAGGAAGATATACAGAAAGTGATAGGAAGGGCTGTCCAGAGGGTTCAGAGAAACTGGCTAAGACACAGAAAGAGAGGCGTTTATTTTCATCGTATCTACTCCACAATGAGTAATGCAGCTTCTACGGCAAATAAACACTGCTAGGTAACAGAATGTGAAATACAATGAAGCTTCTAGTATTGAGAGGAATAGAGAAGCATGAAAGTAATTGAAATATAGTGGAATAGGGCTGTCATTGGGGAAGTACAGGGGGCTACCTGAGCACAAAGAAAGAGCACATACCCCAGTCTTGTGAACGCAGAAACAGTTCCTGGAGAAGGTAAAGGATGAGCTGAGACCTAAAGGATGAAAGGACTTAGCCAGTCAAAGGGCAGTGATGAGTGTAGTGTTCCAGAAAGAAAGGAGTGTGGACACAGGTAGGAAAGAGTAATGGGTGGGTCAAGGAACTGGAAGTTCTCTGTGACTAGATATTAAGTGCAGAATACAAAAAGTAGCAAAAAATCAAACTGCTGAAGTGGACAGGATCATGAAGAGCTTTGTAAGCCATGATGAGAAATTGGGATTTATACTGCATGAACAATGAGGATCATTAAAGGGTTTTAAGAGAATTGATCAGACTTGCATTTAGAAAGATCACTCAGGCTGTATCAAAGGAAGTCAATTAGAGGGTACAAGGCTGGAAGCAAGACAACCAATTAGTAGACTATTCCAGTAATCCAACTAATAGAGAATTTGGGCTAGTCTGACGGAGCAGGCGCAATGGAGAGAAAAATTGAGCTTTTGAGAAATGTAAGAAAATAGAATTAACAAGTTGGAAACTGACCAGAAGTAGGTGACTGATTAGAGAGGGAACAAGGAAGAAATCTAAAATAATTCCATGTTTCTTATTTGAGCTGTCAGGAGGACAATAGTGTCTTTTCCTGAAACAGACCATTCTGAAATGGGCTGCAGGTACAGTTGAGGATGAGTCTCACAGTTTATCTCCCTGCCTAAAGTCTTGACAGCCTACCATACTTCACAAACTGCTTATAGGAGAAGAGTTGAAAGAACAAATATGATTGTGTCACTCATTTGCTTAGAAGACTTCTGATGTTTTTGAAGTCCCACTGTGGTAGAGGAAAAGGGTAAGGCTGAAGAAAAAGACTGGCCTACTGACCAAGTGGTCAAGTTTATGGTCAAGATTGGATTGTATGGATCTCACACAAAACAGAGGATTCCACATGGAGATAATGTTATACACAGAGTTATAAAGGGAAAGCAAGGCCACTGAGGGAAGCTAACGTTGATCCTCAGCTTTATTTATTTAATTTATTGTTTAAGAGATTTCTTTAAGATTTCCAAAATGATCAGTTCAGCAAAAATATGTATGTTGCCTATATAGAAAAAAAAATTGTTGTTTTAAATATTATGCATCAAACTATTTGAATATATTAGAGTCAATACAGATGGTGTGAAAACTAGAAAATAATTTCTAATCAACAGAACAAACCCAAGGACTAGAAAGAGGACTGAAATGGTTTAGGGGCTGGGAAAGAGGTCAAGAGGACTGGAAGAACACCAGAACGTCAGACAATATAAAGACAATGTCCAGCAAGAACAGGCTTGGAACAAGGAAAAAGTGAGAAAGGGAACTCTATGGTAATTACCATGAGTGGGTATTCCTGTGCTGGCTTTTAATGGTTTGTGGATCAGGGAGACAGACAGACCAGGGAATAGTGATTCCAACTTATTTCCAAACTCTTTACTATGACATACAAGTTAGTTATTATCTAGACCCTGCTTTTTTCTCCACCTTTCTTCTTAGACAATTGGATATGTCTGAGAAGTCCCCAAAATCATGTGGTCTCTGTGCCTTTGCGTAAGTTTCACCCAATAACTACCCAACTAACTGCATCTCTCACTCAGAACTTGGGTACTTCCTCGCTCTTGCTCTAGCAGTTTGAGCCATGTTCTCTCCTAGTCCCTTGCCTGTACACATCACACCATGCTTCATTCTATATTGTCAATGTAACTGTACTCATTCATATTCTCTGTAAGCTTTTGGAGTGCCAGGACTATCACTTCTTGCTTTTGTAGCCATCATTCCCTAGCACAGTATTTAGAAAATGCACACTTAATAAATGTTTGTTGGCTGAATGTTTATAGGTATAGACATATGGCCTGACATATGTCACTGAAATCAAACAATGCATGCCCCTTTTACTTTTTCTATTAACAAAATTTGTAGTCCTAGCAATTAGATAGCACCTCTCCCCCCAAAAATATGGTATAGTAATAATGATAATGCCATATATTTTTATAACATTTCCAGTTTACACAATGCTTTTATACCCAGTATCTCAAAGGTGAAGAGAGCATTAGAATAGCTTTGAAGATATCAAATAACCACAAAGCTATTGCTCTGGATCAAAAAACTCAGAAACTCAAATTAAGAATGGTAGTCTGGCCCGGGTGCAGTGGCTCACACTTGTAATCCCAGCACTTTGGGAGGTAGAGGTGGAAGGATTACTTAAGGTCAGGAGTAAACCAACCTGGCCAACACGGCCAAGCACTGTGAGATCACTTGGACTCAGGAAGGGGAACATCACACACCGGGGCCTATCATGGGGAGGGGGGAGGGGGGAGGGATTGCATTGGGAGTTATACCTGATGTAAATGACGAGTTGATGGGTGCAGCACACCAACATGGCACAAGTATACATATGTAACAAACCTGCACGTTATGCACATGTACCCTACAACTTAAAGTATAATAATAATAAATAAATTAAAAAAAAAATTAAATGGGCATGTTCTAGCACAAAAAAAAAAAAAAATACAAACATTAGCCAGGTGTGGTAGCACGCGCCTGTAATCCCAGCTACTTGGGCAGCTGAGGCAGGAGAATCGCCTGAGCCAGGGAGGCGGAGGTTGCAGTGAGCCGAGACCATGCCAGTGCACTCCAGCCTAGGCAAGGGAGCAAGACTTCATCTAAAAAAAAAAAAAAAAGTCTGCCCTCATCCCATGCTGGCTGCCTCTTACTGATATTTAAGAGGAAAGCCCTAAGTATTTCCAGTGACTGTAGGTGACATCATAGACAAACAGGGAGCTATACTCTCCCACACCCCTGCAATGTCATAAAATTCCCAGGATGCCAGTAATTGTTTGGCTCTGGCTGAATGCATCTCCCTGTCATCTAGGACAGACCTCTCCTAGAAAAGGTCAATTCAACATAATGTCCTTTATGTAAAGGGCTAAAGTATGTAGTGCTTTCTATTTCCTGGTTAGGGGTCTCTCACCCCAATAGTCTCCCTAAATTTCAGGATAATCCTTACTTAACTTTGAATAAGGGCCATGAAAAATATGTTTAACATTCTATTGCATTACTTTAATAGGTAATGAACCAAACTTTTATAACTTGTCACATTGGTTCTTGTGGAATAAATATTTTTAATCCTCATTTTTAAACTATTATAGATGTATAGTATTTCAAAGCTATATTCTTATAGATAAAAATACAAGAATGTGAAAAATGAAGATAAGAATTCACAAAATAGTCAAAATTACAATATACAGAAGTTTTGCAACTATTCCTATTAAGAAATATATATTAACTCACCTATATTTTAGCTTTACAGAATTTCCACGTTTTCCCCATGGAAGAACTACAAAATCTTTTGTGTTCATGATTACCACCTTAATGTTGTCTAAAAGTTATTCTGATTTGTAAACACTTCTGTAAAAGTAACAAAGACAAAAGAATTATGGCAGAGTTGAAGCAGTATAAGTTACAAATTCAAAACTCCATATAGTTCAGCAATGTTTTTAAAACTTTATGAGGGAAGAGGCTGAATCAAAGTTTAAACAGCAAAAATTATACACTGTTAGCCCTTTGTCCCCTGCAGCCACGTATCAACCAGAGAATCAAAAATATTAGAATAAAAAAATACAAAAAATGTACAACTATTTATATTTTATTAAGTATTATAAGTAAGCAAGAACTGATTTAAAGTATACAGTAGGTTATGTGTAGGCTATATGAAAATACTATGCCATTTTATATAAGGAACCTGACCATTCTTAGATTTTGGTGTTTGCAAGGTGTGAGGGTGTTACTGGAACCAGTCTCCTGTGGAAACCTAGAAATTACTGTATTTTAAATATAAGTTACGTAAGTATTTATGTACTAATAAAGTTAGACATGTATTATGTCTGATGGAATTAAAATTTCACCAATATTTATGTACAGCTGACCCTTCAACATATAAAGGTTAGGGGCATCAATCCCCCAAAAATCTGTGCATAACTTCTAATTTCCCCAAAATTTTAGTATTAGCCTATTGTTCATCAGAAGCCTTACTGATAGCATAATCAATGAATACATTATGTATGTTATATGTATGTGTATACTATATTCTTTTAAAAAGTAAGTTAGATAACAGAAAATCTTATTGAGAAAATCATAAAGAAGAGAAAATGTATTTACTATTTATTAAGTGGAAGTGAATCATGATAAGGGGCTTCACACTGAGTAGGCTGAGGAAGACGAAGAAGAAGAGGAGTTGGTCTTGTCTCAGGAGTAGCAGAGATGGAAGAGGTAGAGGACATGGAAGGGGAAGCAAGAGGGACAAGCACACGAGTGTAACTATTATTTTTTTTAAATTATTTATAAGTGGATCTGTGCAGTTCAAACCTATGTTGTTCAAGGGTCAACTGTATAACGAAAGACTAGGGAAATATTCAACAAAAAGTGGAGGATGCATTCATTAAAACAAACTAAAGCACGTATTCTGGCTCTTTCTATCGCTAAGGCTATAAAAGTATACCAAGCATTTGTTCTATCTAAAAATAATATCCAAGGCCATGCAGAGAGAAATGAAAAGAATCTTTGAGATACAATCTAAACCCAATAATCTTTTTATATATATATATGGCAATATAAAATGAAAATTAAGGTATGTAATAATTACCCAAAGGCATTCTAATATCCTCATTTATCAAAGAAAATTTTAATGATACTCTTTGGCTAAGATCAGAAATTAGCATATTTTAGAAAGAATATTTCAACAAGAAATGAAACAAAAAGGACTTTCTGCTTAACTTGAGTTAACCAGAAAATTACATTATTCAGAACACCCTGTTTCCCAAGTATCCCAATTATTCATGGTTCTATAATAATTTACTCTGTAATACTGAATTACTAAGTCACATGAACAACTATTAGATTTTTATAGGAATAAAAATTTCCAAGTTCTAAGAGCTTTTAAAGGAATATGAATCAATATTATAGTGACCATAGACTTAAATGCCCACACCATTTGATGTTGTTATTTATTTATTTGTTCCTATGTGTATCCTCATAACCACAATAAACATGCATTAAGCTTCTGCTATATACAAGGCAGTGTGCTGAGAGGTATGGAGAGGAGTCAAGGCCCAAGGAGGTTTGTTTTCTGAGCTCAAATGGTTTAGAGTAAAATAGGGCATATACGACCCTAAATATAAAAGCCATAAAACAAGGTAAAAAATATAAGGGCTATAAAATTTATACATGTGATAATATAGGAAGTGAAAGAAAAGAGAGAATTCAGCTGGTTAGCTTTTAAGTAAAGCTTTGAAGGAGAAAGGAGGCTTAAAGATAAAAATATGGATTAGATGAATATTCCATACTGTTGGAAAGAATAGCTCTTGAATAAGGAACTAATGAATAGTTACACTTGCTTGGTGTGCAGGTTTCATGGAAGAAAAAAAAATAAACATGAATTTAGATATAGTGGCTGAGGCCCAATAATAAGTGGCTTTAAATGTCAAGTTTATAGCATTTGGAATTTATTCTGTAGCTAATAAGAGTCTAATAGGGATTTAGCAGGGAAAACATAAGTCTAGAAACTTTGCTCTAAGACTTAAGGAAGGAAAGCACCAAAATTGGAGTTACCTAACAAAAGGCTATTGCGACATCAAAGTCTGCATAACCAAATGAGTGATTCTTCATTGTTGTTCCTTTGGGAGACTATCTTATATTTCAACGATGCAACCACTGATTAAAAACATTTTTGCGACACCTCTTTCGAAACTGTCTACAGAATCCATTTTACATCTGGGCGCGGTGGCTTATGCCTGTAATCCCAGAACTTCGGGAGGCTGAGGTGGGCAGATGACTTGAGGTCAGGAGTTCAGGACCAGCCTAACTAACATGGCAAAACCCCGTCTCTACTAAAAATACAAAAATTAGTCAGGTGTGGTGGTGTATGCTTGTAATCCCAGCTACTCAGGAGTCTGAGGCATGAGAATCACTTGAACCTGAGAGGTCGAGGTTACAGTGAGCCAAGATTGCACACCACTGCACTCTTCAGCCTGGGTGGCAGAGTGAGACCCTGTCTCCAAAAAAAAAAAAAAAAAAAAAAAGAATCTATTATCACCAACAAACACACAAATCCATTTTGTTGTGGCTCATTTGAAATTAAAAATGATTGTGCAACAAGAGCAACTATTTCTTTCACTCAAACCTACCTCCAAATTACTTGGACTATCTCCAAAAATTAAATCTAACCTGAAAGGGTAGATCTTCACCATTTTGGAGGAAATTCTCTAGGAATTTACTCTCTGAAGATAATTGCAAAATGAAATTACACAAAATAATTACTACAATTTAAATAAGGTAGTGGTTGCATCATGGGACTAATTATATTTGTACGTTCAATCCACAAACATGTACTCAACTGTTCCTTTGTGATCCCTATTAGTGGTCCCAGGTATTGAAGTCACTGTGGCAAATAAGCCATGGTGTCTTCCCTTGAGACTCTCACAATCAAGGGGAAATCCACACAAGCAACCACAATATCATAGGGCATTTTGATAGAAGAATCTATAGGAGGCGTCTCACTCAGACGCAATTTTCAACCACCAAGTCCTGTCTCTCAAAGCTAAATTAAGTGTCAAAGAGAAATAAAGATACCATAGGAATGGAAAACTAAGATTTGGTTTGCTTTTTGGGAGGGAGGTGATAGCATTTTCAAGTGTAATCCCCTTTTTCTCCCTCATTTTTGTAGGTAGTATTTTTGTCCCATTTTTATCAAATAGCAGCTAGCAAAGGTACCTTTCAAAAACCTCCAGGAATAATCCTGATCCATAACATGGAATCTGTATTGCTTTCTGATCATATTCAGGGAATCCAAATACTGGCCTCTTCCCTACAATCGATAACTTTGTCACAAAAACTTCCATAATGCTATTATTATAATTAAAGAGATAAAATAATCCCCAAAGTCAATCTGTCTGATTATTAAAATAATCTAAATTGCTATAATTTTGCTTACACATTGAGATATACAATATAATTTTATGTGTATGTATATATATAAAGCTAAACTGATATATGATTGACTTTACCGATACAAAAAATGAACAAACATCTGTAAATCTCATTACAATAAGATGACTGAGATTTGTAGCTCTGCTTATAATGTTATTTAACCAATAAATGGTCTTATTCAAGGGGAATTTCACTTCACTGTATGCGATTAGCAAGCCTTCTCTCAATTACGTATTTTATCAAGTCACCTACATAAGCCAATTTCCTTGTATGAAGAAAAAGGGGAGATTATCATTCTGAGTCATATTATTCTGCCTGTTTCCTTTTGTAAAGCCAACAAAGAATTTAGTCACCTTTCTTGGGATAGCAAGGATATAACAATGTCAGCAGCAAGAATAGTAAAGCACAAAATTTTAAGCACCTAATAAAACCAGAGGAATACAGATAAACTCCTTATTATGCAAAACTTATACTTCCTTGTGTCTTTTGGTCAAATTTTTTTATAACTAAATACCAAAAATTTAGTAGTGATTTGGAAAAATTTCTAGTTCCTGATTAGACTACATTATTTTTCTGTCTACAACCCCATTTTTCCTCACACATAATACCCAATATAACCCAAAATTGTCCAAGATGGTTTGATGATCCTTCTACACGTGTTCCTATTTTGAGAAAGCAACCCCCACATCAAAACCTACTGCCACAGAATGGAAACAAGGAATTTACAACGCTCTATACAGCTAGAAACTCAGAGCATTCCGCTAGAGGTGCAGGAGAACACCATTGGCAGAAAGGGAGGTTTAGGAAACCGCTGTTTACAAGAAGGGCCACTTTTTGTAATTGGAAACTTATCTAAGGTTAGTTAATTCTTCTAATGACTCAGATCATGTTAGGCTCAAAACTTAAAAACCATACCGTAAGTAGGGATTTTTCCTTACTGAAGCAATATTTTGAAAGGGTGTAATTAGCAAGCAACTTTGGGTGAACTAACATGTTTAGGCATTTAGTACCATAGTACTTAGAAATCACAGACCCAAGAAAGAAATGTTAAATAAGAATTTAAAATAGTTGCTTTTAATAATTAAAAGAATTTTAATTTTAACATTTCCTCTATCTAATTATCGTTATTTTAAGTATATATATTTTAAAATATTTTAAAAATTATAAGGCAAGAACTGATAATACATGATTCCTAGAATAGTATCTTGTGCTGGAGTGTCCTACTAAATAAATGTGTGCCACATTCTCATAGCAAAAATTCTAAAAGTAAAGCAGGTATTGATATGGTTTGGCTGTGTCTCCACCCAAATCTCATCTTGAATTGTAATCCCCATAATTCCCACATGTGGTGGGAGGGCCCTGGCGGGAGATAACTGAATCATGGGGGCAGTTCCCCCCATGCTCTTTTAGTAAGTTCTCACGAG